AGTATGCCCGACAGCAGTGTTTAACACGAAAGCTGAGAAGAAGCGAGCCCAACGGCATTGAATTTTCACTTGTGACCAGCTTTTCGTTTATGTGGTTTATATAGGATTCTACCTTTCAGGGTCTTAGCTAGAGGGCCGTGTTGGCCGTGTTATCGTGGCCAAAAGTGCAAAAACACGGCTAGATAAAATGAACGCGGCTTCACTATTTATATAAGGCCGTGTATATAGGTTCATAAAATAAGGTGGTGCTATACTTACAACAGACAGAATTTCTTCCTATTTACGTCAAGAAAATTTGTAGAATCTACTGTTGGTGTTGAATTGGCAAAAGTGATCCGTGATGTTTTAATGTTTTGATGGATAATGGGAACTGTATGGTGTTCAAATGGTTTTAATTTTGTTGAAATAACTTAATTGTCAGTGCGCAATATCAGCGTATGCTCGCCTTGTATTTGGCTGCAAAGCATAGAACAACCACAGGCATTGTTGTTGGCGAGCATAACTAGAGCCATTATTTTGCTATTCAAAGTAATTGACATGTGCACGCCCTGGTCATTAGAAACACGCCCAAGATCTAAAATCCTAGCTAAGACCCTGCATGTGATATGTTGATAGGAATTTGAATAAGTAGGCATAAATTAGGATTTTTGTTTTAATTCTATATTTATGAAATTCTATAAATGGGCGGCACAACTAATTTGAGATATAATAATGTATAAAATATGGATTGTAAATTTTGTAATATAGAAAATAATAGAGTTCTTATAACATATATGTATCTAGTAGAACAACTACATGTGATATGTTGATAGGAATTTGAATAAGTTTTTAGTAGGCATGAATTAGGATTTTTGTTTTATTTCTATTTATGAAATTCTATAAATGGGTTGCACAACTAATTTGAGATATAATAATGTATAAAATATAGATTGTAAATTTTGGAATATAGAAAATAATAAAGTTCTTATAATATATATGTATCTAATACAACAACTACATGTGATATGTTGATAGGAATTTGAATAAGTTTTTAGCAGCCATGATTTAGGATTTTTGTTTTATTTCTATTTATGCTATTCTATAAATGGGTGGCACAACTAATTTGAGATATAATAATGTATAAAATATAGATTGTAAATTTTGTAATATAGAAAATAATAAAGTTGTTATAATATATATATATATATAATACAACAACTACATAATATAGAAAATAAAAGAGTTCTTATAATATACATGTATCTAATACAACAACTACATGTGAATAAATGTGATATGTTGATAGGAATTTGAATAAGTTTTTAGTAGGCATAAATTAGGATTTTTGTTTTATTTCTATATTTATGAAATTCTATAAATGGGCGGCACAACTAATTTGAGATATAATAATGTATAAAATATGGATTGTAAATTTTGTAATATAGAAAATAATAAAGTTCTTATAATATATATATATCTACTGTAATACAACAACTACATGTGATATGTTGATAGGAATTTGAATAAGTTTTTAGTAGGCATGATTTAGGATTTTTGTTTTAATTTATGATTTTCTATAAATTTATGAGATATAAATAATGTATAAAATATAGATTGTAAATTTTGTAATATAGAAAATAATAAACTTCTTATAATATATAATTATGTATCTAATACAACAAGAACATGTGATATGTTGATAGGAATTTGAATAAGTTTTTAATAGGCATGAATTAGGATTTTTGTTTTAATTTGTGATTTTCTATAAATGAGTGCCCCAACTAATTTGAGATATAATAATGTATAAAATGTAGACGGATTTTCATATTTATGCTATTCTATAAATGGGTGGCACAGCTAATTTGAGATATAATAATGTATAATATATAGATTGTAAAATTTTATAATGTAGAAAATAATAGAGTTCTTATAATATATATGTATCTAATACAACAACTACATGTGATATGTTGATAGGAATTTGAATAAGTTTTTAGTAGGCATGATTTAGTATTTTTGTTTTAATTTATGATTTTCTACAAATGAGTGCCCCAACTAATTTGAGATATAATAATGTATAAAATATAGATTGTAAATTTTGTAATATAGAAAATAATAGAGTTCTTATAACATATATGTATCTAATACAACAACTACATGTGATATGTTGATAGGAATTTGAATAAGTTTTTAGCAGGCATGATTTAGGATTTTTGTTTTATTTCAATTTATGAAATTCTATAAATGGGCGGCACAACTAATTTGAGATATAATAATGTATAAAATATGGATTGTAAATTTTGTAATTTTAGAAAATAATAAAGTTCTTATAATATATATGTATCTAATACAACAATTACATGTGATATGTTATAGGAATTTGAATAAGTTTTTAGTAGGCATGATTTAGTATTTTTGTTTTAATTTATGATTTTCTATAAATGAGTGCCCCAACTAATTTGAGAAATAATAATGTATAAAATATAGATTGTAAATTTTGTAATATAGAAAATAATAGAGTTCTTATAATATATATGTATCTAATACAACAACTACATGTGATATGTTGATAGGAATTTGAATAAGTTTTTAGTAGGCATGATTTAGGATTTTTGTTTTAATTTATGATTTTCTATTAATGGGTGCCCCAACTAATTTGAAATATAATAATGTATAATATATAGATTGTAAATTTTGTAATATAGAAAATAATAGAGTTCTTATAATATATATGTATCTAATACAACAACTACATGTGATATGTTGATAGGAATTTGAATAAGTTTTTAGTAGGCATGATTTAGGATTTTTGTTTTAATTTATGATTTTCTATAAATGAGTGCCCCAACTAATTTGAGAAATAATAATGTATAAAATATAGATTGTAAATTTTGTAATATAGAAAATAATAGAGTTCTTATAATATATATGTATCTAATACAACAACTACATGTGATATGTTGATAGGAATTTGAATAAGTTTTTAGTAGGCATGATTTAGGATTTTTGTTTTAATCAGTGATGTAAGTACTCGTTACTAAAGTAACGCGTTACTAATTACTAATTACTTTTTGGGTAATTTTTCGTTAATTAATTACTTTTTGCACCAAAGTAATTTGTAACGTAATCAATTACTTTTTGAAGGTAACGAGTACCTTTTTAAAAAATGTAATTTGCGTTACTTATGGGCACTTTTATTATTTTCCAAAAAAACGACGATGACGATGAATTTCTCAAGTCAAAGAAGAAGACAACCAAATCGCCTTTAGATACCTACTTGGCTTTAAACATTATTGATGCCACAGTTTACAATGGACACTGTGCTGCACCTTTGAAGCAAATGGCTTTGAAGTTAAACACCGTATTGCCTGCAAGTGCAGCTGTTGACGTCTTTTCAGCTGTGGAGGCTTGATCATGCGCCCGCACCGAAATCGGTTAACTGGTGCCCATTTTGAGTCGGCACTACTCTTAAAGCTGAACTCCAAATTTAATGAGTCTTAACTCTTAACTTTGGAACTGCCTTTTGAATTAACATTTTGTTGTTGTTTAAGTCCATGAGAACTTGAAAGTAATTTCAAAGTAATTAGTAATTAATTACTTTTCAAAAAAGTAATTAGTAATCGGTAATTAATTATATTTGAGAGACAGTAATAAGTAATTAGTAATAATTACTTTTTTGGAGAAGTAATTGTAATTTTACTCGTTACTTTTTTTTGGTAATTTTCACATCACTGGTTTTAATTGATGATTTTCTATAAATGAGTGCCCCAACTAATTTGAGATATAATAATGTATAAAATGTAGATTGTAAAATTTTATAATATAGAAAATAATAGTTATAATATATCTATCTATCTAATACAAACAAGTAGTCTGTGATATGTTGATCGGAATTTGAATAAGTTTTTAGTAGGCATGATTTAGAATTTGTTTTATTTCTATTTATGATATTCTATAAATGGGAACCACAACTAAATTGAGATATAATAATATGTAGAGCTGCTCCCATCGGTTAATTTTCGTAATCAACGAAGTTTACCGAACACCTTTGAGTGTTAGTTTTGCCCAAAATTTATTTATTGGTTTCCACGAGCATTTATAGACTAGTTATACTTACAAATGCTATATTATAAATATGTATCTAATACAACTACATGTTGATATAATACAGCTATATGTTGATAGGAATGTTAACAATTAAACTCCTCATTAATAATTCATGAGGAAAACACAGCTTTATATGTGATAAAACTTATCTTCATTAGTATGTTTATATAACGCTTCATCTTAATTAGTATTCTTTTGTAGTCTGAGTTTAATTAAGCCATTTAAAGCACTTGTAGTTGTAGGCCAGATTTATAACTTTTGTTTTATGTTACGATTTTCATGCGGAATGGCGGCCCCAACTAAGTTGAAATGTAATAATGTATATTAGTATAATTACATAGGTGATTATTAAAAATTCTCCATGCTGATTGGTTGCTGTTGAGGTGATTATAACACGATAATTACCTAAGCAATTTTTGCCATGGCGACAAAGCCGTTTTGTCGATCAAATGACAAAAAAAGGGGGCGGTATTTTTTTATTTTTTTCCCCAAATAATCACCTTTGAAATTATACTAATACAATTATTCACCAATAATAGAATTTCTATAATATATACATGTTATTTTCTGCCAATTGAGAAACGAAAAAGGCAGAAAATGTTTTTCTCACACACTGCTGGGGCGGGGGGGGGGGGCTGCATCAAAAGCTTTGCAGTAATAAATTTATGTGGTTTTTTCCACAAACAAAAAAGTATTATACATACTATTTGAATTTTAGTCTACAGTAGGCCTGATTTAGGATTTTTGTTCTTATTTATGATTTTCTATCAATGTAGCCCCGACTAATTTGAGTTATAATAATCTATAATATATAGATTGTAAATTTGGTAATAATAGAGATTCTATTTAATACAACTGCATGATATATGTTGATAGGAATTTGAACAAGTTTTTTTAGGCATGATTTAGGATAATTTTTTGTTTTATTCATGATTTTCTATAAATGGGGGGGGGAGGGGGGGGCACTCAAACGGCATGGTTTCTGAACATTAATTAGACTCCATTTTGCATGCTTACTATTTTACCAATAAGAATTGTATTGAAATTTGAAAGCCATTGTTTTCAACTACATAAAGCCTGCATGGGTAGTAGCATTAAACTTTATTATTTTTCCAAGGTCTCTGTGAGACATCGAGTCATTCAGCATGGGCAAGCAGTACATGTAAAAAGAAAGGCGCCGCTTTTTGGGTGTACTATTTGTCCACGTTGAATGGCTGGAAGTGCTGCAGGTATCTTGGGATATCTAATAAAGTTGTGACGTTATTTCGGTGCTGTTTCTATAAGATGCAGCTTGCTTATGGCTATATGCGTTAGCCTAAAAAATTAAGTTATTTTTCAAATAAAACGTTAAGTGCTGTTTCCATAAAAAAGACGGCTTACTTCTGGCCTTAGCCAAAAAATAACAACTACGGTTTTACTATAGGGGTCGAGGGCATTGCCCCATATTTGGGATGTTTGCCCACACATCAACATTTGTGCTTCAGTATGGGAAAGGACGAAACTGCTACTATATGGCCAGGGGCGTAGGAAGCGGGGGGGGGGCACGGGGGGCACGTGCCCCCCCAAATTTTTTTAAAGGACTAAGAGTGCCCTTTTTTGTGATAAAAAGTGCCCTTTTTGTGTTGAAAAGTGCCCTTTTTTGTGAGGAAAAGTGCCCCTTTTGTAGAAGCTAATGTCGCTGTCAATACTAAATTAAAACAATAGGTGCCGTTTTTGTGTGGAAATTTACAAATTTTTTTTAAAAATTAGGTCACAAACATAAATTTCGGTATGATACGACGGAAAATTTTCCTCAGGAGAAATTTCTCTCCCCCCCCCGTGGACAACATTTCCGGGAAAAATTTTTTAGGTGCCCTTTCCGATAGTAATGTGCCCCTACAAGCCGGTGCCCCCCCAAACTCCAGGTGCTTCCTACGCCCCTGTATATGGCCATATTATAGTGCTGTTTCTATAATGGCAGTGATTGCCTTTGCTATACGCTTAATTAAGCTTTCGAAATGGACAGCACAGTTTACTGATATTTCAAATTTAGAAAAACCTTAGATTCACTGCCTATGTGTGTTTTAGTCAACCTCGTCCCCAGGGTCTTCCTCGTGGTGGCGTGTGAGCTGAGGAAGACCGTGGTAAAATACGATGAAATCTCCAAGATTCTTGGAGATTTATCGCATGCGCAGTAACGACAACGTTATGTTGCTGACTACAATTAGCGCTGGCGCTTACGATTTTCTTGCTTGAAAATATACATGTTTTGTTGATTGTTTATGGATTTATTCTCAAAGTTTTAACAATTTTTACGAGAAATACTTCAGATATAAGCTGTAAACACACGTGTACAAAAAACTATGCAACATTCATCATCATATTGTATCAATTTGTCGGAGTATGGCGCTCATATTTGTGACATTGTTTTGTTCGCTTTGGCAACCCTCGTATATATCAGATGCTGTTCGGCTTCAAATGCGACTGAATAAAAACTGATAGTGTTGCCTCGAATATGAAATGATATTGACTGATTGTTCTGTATATCAAGGTACGTACTGTACATTTATACTGAATTTATTCGATTTATTTTCACACGTTGGCGTTGCTTTCACATTTTCTCAGAGTCTCGGAAATCACATTTTCTATTAAACACAGTTGTTTCACACATACAGAAAGACTTCATTTCACATGACATACAGAAAGACTTCTTCAGAAATCACAGTTTTTAACATACAGAAAAACTTCATATTATCTCATCAGTTAATCAAATTATGATAACAGTAGAAATGCTTAGAAAGATTTTATTCTGTTTTGAAGTGTTTTCCATATATAGTACAACTGTTATTTCGATTTTCTTTTTCCTATATTTTCTTTAAAGCAGGTACTGTTCTGTTACAAAACAACTAATAAACATTTTATTATTTTAACAGGTGAACCATATTTTATATGAAGTTGGGATAAAACCAACTTGAATTCCATGGAAATATATATAATCATGTCATCACTGAATCAGATAGTGAACAATCACTAATTATTAAGATGGTCTCAAGATTATTTCACAGTAACCAACATGAAAATTTTTAAATGGGAATGAGTTGATGGCATTATAGTTTTCTAATGCTATATAATTTTGTTCATCAAGGTGAAGAAACTCACTATACCTTTCCCTGCTACAGAGCTATGGAAGTAATCTTAGAAGATTTTTATGATCCCTCTATTCAGTAGTTCTTTAACCAGTCTAGTATTATGACTGTATTATGTTAAATAGCCTTGTTTGATTTTTGTATTTGGTTTCTTTAATAATACATTTACAATGGTCAAAATTACAGTTTATTATTTGTATTTCTAATGATAATTACTTGCCCATATCCATCACACTTCTCTGTTACTATTAAACTTATTACTATCATGCAAGTAAAATCTCTTGGGAAAAATAAAATGTTGTCCCAGGATGGTGATAAATATCAACTAGTAAAACTAATGAATATACCTATAATCATGTACATATGACTATCATATAATATGTTGTAATTCCTTTAAGTGTTTCAAATTAAATAAATTTCTATTTTCAGTTGTTCATTGTTCAAACTTATTTGAAACATACAGTATATGTAGTTGCTATGATTCAAATATCCAAAAGTCTGCCTTTTACTTCAGTCCTTATAGACTCCTCCCTAATACAGACACTTTATTGTGCCACTCCAATATTCTTCATTCAAAGTGATCCAACTGACATCTGAGCTGGTGATAATATACAGCAAAGCATTGGAACTATGAGTATATCAGATAAGTTGTTCATTCAGTCAAGACATTGAGCTTGTGCTGATCATCATATCAAACTCCATCACATATTGTGCCTTAAAAACATATATACAAATTTTAAAAGTTGTTGCAGCACACTGGGCCATTCCATCTAATATAGCCCTCCCCCCACACCCTATTGAGGGGTCTCTTCATAATACCTTAAAAAATTTGGAACCCCATTGGATGCAATTTTGGAACCCCCATGGATGTCTTTCTACCCCTGTAGGATATTGTTCCTGCCCCTTTGGATATCACTAAAACACCTAATTTTTAGAACATCTCTTAAGCTACCCTCCAGAAAAATTTAAGGTAAAAACCCCCTCTCTAAAATCCCCATATAGGATATCCAGACCTCAATAGGGGGGCTATTAAATGGAATGGCCCATTTGACTTGGTGAGTGGTGACTACCACCAAAGCAAAATGAAAGCATGCTGCCCTGCTTTACATAGAAAACAGAATAAATTTTGAAGCATTTCTACTGTTAATATTTGTATAAACGATAATCAGAATTGATGAGAAAATATGTATGTTAATAGTGATGTGATCTCATTGTTCATTATAATATAAAGGCTGAAATAGTTCGAAACTCGTGTGAAAATAAATCCAGTATATATGTACAGTACGTACCTTGATATACAGTACAATCAATCAATATAATTTCATACTCCAGGCAACACTTTCAGTGTTTATTCAGTCGCATTTGAAGCCGAACAGCATCTGATATATACAAGGGTTGCCAAAGCGAACAAAACAATGTCACAAATATGAGCGCCATACTCCGACAAATTCATACAATATGATGATGAATGTTGCATAGTTTTTTGTACATGTGTGTTTACAGCTTATATCTGAAGTATTTCTCGTAAAAATTGTTAAAACTTTGAGAATAAATCCATAAACAATCAACAAAACATGTATATTGTCAAGCAAGAAAATCGTAAGCGCCAGCGCTAATTGTAGTCAGCAACATAACGTTGTCGTTACTGCGCATACGATAAATCTCCAAGAATCTTGGAGATTTCATCGTATTTTACCAGGGTCTTCCTCAGCTCACGCGCCACCACGAGGAAGACCCTGGGGACGAGGTTGTGTTTTAGTTACAATAAAGTGGCCATTCATGGCTTAGGTGTATAAGTGTATATACGTTCTATAAAACTATGCAGTAGTTTTACCCAAGTATATATACAGGGTTATTAATACATGCTAAAAGTTTCTGTTTTGTAAGTGGGGTATTTTTCCAGGATTTGCACATATTGGGTTGTATGACCAGCCCCCAACCACCCGGAGAAAACAGGGTCACCAGTAAATTGTGTTGAAAAAAAAATAGGGTCAGCAGAAAAAATAGGGTTGGTAAGCAGGAACCACAGGTATTTTTTAGGCTATTTATGATTTTCTATAAATCCGAGGCCCCAACTAAGTTGAGATGTAATAATGTGGTAGATAGATTGTAATTTTGTACTATAGAAAATAATAGAATTCCTATAAGATAGACATGATTTAGGATTTTTTGTTTTTTATTTATGATATTATATAAATGGGGGCCACAACTAATTTGAGATATGATTTGGTATATAGCATGTAAATTTTGTAAATATAGAAAATAATACAGTTCTTATATAATATGTATGCATCTAATACAACTACATGTCCTACATGGTATGTTCATAGGCATTTGTTATATTTTCATTTATGATTTTATATAATCCTGGTTTAGCGAGAAAATATTTTGACAAGTGAAATCTCGCTTTTTTTATGAAAATCATATGAAAAAGTTACACTGTGTTTATCAGACGAAGAGTTTTCACATGTCTTGCTTGTTTGCCAGGCAAGATCTTGGTGACTTTGTATTCGACCCATATTTTTCCAACGTATTTATATCAATGGAAATACTTACATTTGGAATGTAGAATTTTTAGCCTTTTTCCATTTTTTGCATCTTTTGCCATTTTTCATAAGTGGGCAAAAAAAACAGCAAAAAAGTAAGGCTATAATAGCCTTAACTTTTCATCCATTTTTAGCGTCTTTTGCCATTTTTCATAAGTGGGCAAAAAACAGCAAAAAAGTAAGGCTATATATAGCCTTAACTTTTCGTCCATTTTTAGCCCATTTTTCGATTTTTGAAAAAGGGGCTAAAAACCGGCAGAAACCTTGTCCACACCGCCAGGAACCTTGTCCTCACCGGCAGGAACCTTGTCCTCACCGCCAGGAACCTTGTCCTCACCGCCAGGAACCTTCTCCTCCACACTGTCCACACCGCCAGGAACCTTGTCGTCAC